TTTACTATGACTTCGATTGTGTTGTAATGATTACCATACGCACATATCCCGTCGTGTAATATTATAGCATACCATTTACAGCTGGTTAAAAGTCGAACAAATTATGTTCCTAACGTTAAGATGTCTATGACAAGCCTGATATTAGTACTTAGACCTTTGAGGTTTGGTCATTCGACCAAATAGATTTGAGACTTTTGCAGATAAAAACAACGTGGTTTTAAAATTCGACATATGTAGTGGATACCCTTGCATAGCGGACTATGTGGGGGGGAAATAAAGGACGAATATTGAAATTATTTGTTTTTGTCACACACATGTCTTCCCAATAATCCGAAGCAGGTTCATGGCAGCGACATTATTATTATATAGCAACGTGTCTGTAAACGACCGATATCTGAATATCTTGAGTAAATTACATCTATGTATAATCATTTATTGGCGACAGTCACAACATTCGCCCAATCAAAGTTACCCGCCTGCAAACTAGAATTTACCCAACTATTTCAAAATCCCTTCAAACAATGTCGATCTTTTTTTCCCCATAGACACATGGTTCATTGATCTGTTGCTAAGGGCCAAAACAAAAACAAAAACAACAACTAAGGAAACATTTACCATCAAATTCAATACCTTTATTGCTGTAGCAACAGAAACTCTAATTGTATTATTACTATCGATGTCTATTATCGATAGTGCATACCAATCAATGCTTTGGGTATGATCAGGGATACCGTACTTGTGGAAGATTACAGTTATCCATCAGCGGAAATTAATTTGTCTAATATCCTGAGATGCGGCCCGTAAGCCATCCTACAAGACTGTTACACACGAAAATGATTTACACATTTCACATGATTTGAAGATATTACTTAACTGATATTACAAATATGGCAATCTCGTCATAGACACTAAGTAGTGTATAAGATGAAGACGCTTTCATTAGTTAATGACTCAAAATGTATAATATTGTGTCTTTAGTATTCGGTTAATAACGAGTTAACATGTTCGATACTGATTGATACCACGTAGAACGTGGTTATCAGGCGATTACAGGTCGGTGCTTTGGGTCAACGTACACACAGATCGAGAAGAACAAAATTGTATGTGAATTAATAATATCTTCTTTTGACGAATCATTTAAACAACACTTCGACTTTTTTTAATTCACGTCGTTTTCATTTTGATAATTACGTGTTTTTGTATAAGTGTACGTTCTTTGCGGAATCGAAAAAAAAACATGCGAACCATTGTTCGCTAGAGCGATTGCGTTTCGTGATAAATAGAGACAGTTTGCAGGGAATATCTCATAGAAATAACTGTTCACACATGGCCAACATCTTTGAAATATCGCGTGACGGTTCCGTGAATTTTCATTGATACATTCAATAAGTAGTCCGAACTGTTCACAACTGTTCAGACTCAATTGTAGCATTGCTACCATAACTAAAACTAAAATACCGATAACATACTCTAAGACATGTTCTGTAACAGATGTCCAAATAATGAATACCCCGGAACGACCCAGTCATGAAACAACTTTGTTATTCGGTTGTCTACCGTCGCATTCTTCCCACACACCATCTTCTTGAAAATACCTTAATGATGATAGAAACATGTTTGGTAAACTATTCCAGCGGTAAATCCCGCATGTATGCCTCCGGATTGTGTACAAGCGAAATATTTATTTCTGCAGCGCATTGATATTGACGCATTGACAGTTGATTGCCCTCTTATTTAAATTAAGCATGGACACACAATGTCCGTTTTCTTATCATACACATTC